AGGTGAGCAGACTTAGTCAGCCTGTGTTGCCCTAACACAGAGAGAGGAGAAAGTTAAGGAGTGAGAGTGGTGGCATGTCTCATTGCAATATTTGGGCAGATGTGTTGAGGCATGATCAGTAGTATTTGGGTAACTGGAAATAATACACAAATATGAATATCATCATGGTATTATGTTGCACAACTCAGAAGGATGGACATTTTGATATCAAGGTGCTACATGAATTCAATCATGGGAAGGAGCTATCATAATATGTAGAACTACCAGTGACCACCAAACAGACCCTTGACCTCTCAAGATCATACAACCACAACCTCAGCCTTGATCTCACAGATCATGCATGATCTCATGCATCTGAACAGCCTCTAAGTAGCAGCCATTCCTCTATGGCCACTTTGTCTCCAATACAGTCTGCAACTGGGTTCATGACTTCTACCAAGAATTTCTCACTGGGTCTGTCAGCAAATATCTGTGACATCATCAAAAAATAGTCACAAGGATCACCAGGAATATGGCCTTGGAGATATGTGATCATCTGCTCAGGGACACAAACAAGATGTAGCTGTTGACATGTGGTTTTCTTGGTGATCAGAAGCTTGAATAGCAAATCGCCCCTCTGACAATTGTGCTCCATAGTGTGTAAGTCCAGAACTTCCAGTTCCAGTGGCAGAATTTGACACATGGCTTCAAGGAGTGCAGTAGGGATGTGTGACAAGGTAAGATCCAGAGCACAGAGCAAGGGTATCCCTTCAACAAGCTTGATGATCATGTTGGCATCATGGCATGACCCATGGAGGTGGAGGTGGGTCATTGCATTCCAGTGATGTGGGGTAACAGCTGTGGTAAGTAGATTCTGGTCCAGCTCAGTTGGGTTGGTCTCATTTGTAACCTCAAGGCTGGCCTGGGCCAAATGGGGACATTGAATGACAGTAAGAGCAGAGAGTAGGTCTTGAAGAAGTAGCACCAGGTCAAGGACATGTAGGCCATGGAAAAAGAGAATACACTGAGGTTCCAGGGTGAAGACCATAGCACTGAGGTGTAGTGCAGATAGACATGTCACCTGCTTAAGGGCTTTGCCATCCACAGTTGGAAAAGTGTTCAAAGCAGTTGTTATCAGTTCCTGCTGATGGGAGGCATCATTGAACATGCAGGATGCCTGGTGGATGTTCATTTTCTCCATCTTCACCCCAGAAAGAACAGTTGCTTTGAGCTGACCATGGAGGGTGAGCAATCTGGCTTGGCACATATCCCTTGTCAAGGAGAATGGTGCCACATCTCCCCAGTGCCCAGCCTCAACAACAAATTCATCAAGATTAGGCAGTGACTATGAGCAAATCTAAGTGATCCAGGGTTTGAAAGCTGGTTTCCAGTAGTCCCAGTAGAGAGTCAGTGATTTTATTTGACAGGCATGTTTGCAGGCAGCCAACAAAGGTAGATTGGAAGAAGCCTTTGGATGGAGGATAGGGAGCTGTAGTACCACAGTTAGAAGTGCTTCTGCTGAGTTTTCAAGATACAAATCAATTCAAGCAAAGTGGTCCTCGCAGCTATCAATGATGATTGTCCACCAGTTTGCATATGCTCTTATTGCCATGTTGAAAGCATGGAACACCAAATGAATGGGCAGAAGGTCCATGAACAGAATTTTGTACAAGATGAGCTGGAGCAGTTTCTTGGTGTCTGTGACTCGAAGACCTGCAGATACAGGTGAGAGCATCAGGGTAGACTCACCTGCAGGTGCATTGTCAGGTCCCAGTTGCAGGGGTGAATGCCAAACAATGAGGTTACAACAATGGCAGTGACCAAACAGTCCCATGCACTTACCAACAGATATGTCTAATGCATCTCTGCACCCCTTCCCTCCTCCCAAACCCATCCAGGCTTCCAAACCTGCATATATGCAGTTCAGAACATTGCCAGTGACAAAAGGGGGACATGACCTTACCACACAATGTGTTCAATGCATCTCTGCACACATCTCCTCCTCTCAACCCTGCCCAGGCATCAGAGGCTGAGTGTATGTGGTTGCACTTCGATTTGAGGAAAGCAGTGACTACAAAATGTGCACAACAACATTCCATTATGGTTCAACTCATCAAGAAATACCAGCAGCAATGAAAAGGGGGAAATGCACTCACTGACAGACATCTCTGACATGTCCCTGCATCCCTCTGCTCCTCCCAAACCCATCCAGGCTTCAGAGGCTGCATATATGTAGGTTAAAACAACACTGGTGACAAAAGGGGGACTGTCAAGGTACACCCAGTACAGCATATATAGCAACCTGTGACCAATATCACTTTCCCATGATATTGAGGCTCTTTTGGCCTAGTGGTAGTATTTGCAGGTGTTACCCTGACAGGGACATGCACTCACTGAGGGATGCATCAACACATGCATCTGCCTGCTGCAAATGGGACATGTCTTGGAAAGCTGCATATATGCAGGTGAGAAAGCTCAACACCAGCTGAGTGATGAGAAAGAACTCACCTTCATCCAATTATTCTTGTACAATGAGCAATTTGGTTCTTCTTCTGTTTGGGAGGAGATGCAGAACAATCAGGAGGATGGTTGATTGGAGGCAAGAGGTGGTGGATAGGCCCTAGAATAATGCACAATCTGCATCAAGGAAATGGAATCAAATGGAAGTCATTGTAATGTGGGATGGAAACATTTGCTGCCCTTGTAAATAGCCTGATAGCCTGTCAGGAACTCATAGAATATTGTGCCCTTCTTATCCACCTCCCTGAACCATCACTGGTTAGTCCACATGTGTAAGAAGGTGAGATGTGGCCACACACTCAATGGTGAAGGTTGTCTCTAGTGCCCTGCTCCACACCTTGATCCAGTCTTCTACTACTAGAGGAAAGGCTGTTGATCCAACCCAAAAGGTGTCCAAAATATCAGGGGTCTGAATAAGTCAGTCTGATGGGTGGTGTGCAAGAACTTGCTGGGGAAAGAGGGGAGAGAAGGGGAAAATCAGTAGAAACACCAGAGTCAGCCTGTGTCAGGGCACCAGCTCATTGCTTGGTCAAGAGACATGACTAAGCCTTTATGACATGGAAGTAGCTGGTATACCTTGGCATGTGCTGGAGCCTGCTGGAAGGATTGGATGGTCAGGTGACCTGCTGTGCATGGCTGTGCA